AGGGGTAGGGAACTCTCGAGTGATTGCAGCCTACGACTGTCCTCACCGGCGACAGAGACACTCTGCTGGCCCGGCAGGACACCGCTTGAAGGCTCAAACTTGAGGCTCATCGATTCGTTTCCTGCAAGAATCGGCATGAACTGTCTTCCGCTATGATGTTGCCGCTGTACCGTTCGGACTGTCTATCCACTTAAAAGAGGTTGGTAGATCGGTTGTGTTCTGCAGCACCTAGGTGTTGCGATGGTACACTGGGGGGCATATTGGATCATCTCACTAGGGTTCGAGGCTCCGACACTACGCCAGAAAAGGCTTTATCCCAGTGTAACTGACTCGTCGAAAGACGTATCCTGGGCAGTTGTATCTACAACCTCTCGTTATCATCGCGCGGATGTCCGTGGTAACGTACTTCTGCTAGAACCTCTACGGACTGTATGAGCGATTCGTAACCGGTTTTGAGTCTCCACCACTCAAAGGGGCGGACGTGTAAGGAACGCTGCAGTCTAAAGAACCTTGATGGAATCATCTGCACGCATGCGCAAGACTAACCTATGATCCTTATGACCGGTTTTCAGGAGAACTTTGACCAGTAGCTGAGACAAGTAGCAGACTCTCAGGAAGGAAGGACACATATATTTGCATACCGTGTCGCCAGGATCAACGAGGGCCACCTCTGGAATCATGCGTATGGATGACCGGGATTGCACAGCATCAGAGCCGACAGCTCTGCAGTTACACTGGGCGCATGCCTCGACTGATGAAGAGTATCGGCGATCGGTCCAAGGCATGCTACAGGTTGGAGTAATGAACGCATTCCCTTTGGCGAGATGGCCGAAATCGATTTCCTCTCTCGTTGTCGATACCGTCATTTCGGTATCTAGCTTGCTCGTGTCCATTGCCTCAACCTGGTCACATGCCAAATCGCTTTCCTCTACAATAAGGAATGTCACATCGGCATATGTCAGTATTCCTCTTCTGACGAAGTACTCTTCGTCACACGTCTTCGCCTGTAGTTCCGAACTATTCCCATCATCTACTATCATTCGGACCTATCACAGTGCTGTAGGTATACTAAAGCGTATTCCCCACCAAAGCCCGCTTGGGAGTTGGGTTGAAAATCTTCACGCTCACAGAAGCTTCCGAGTGCGCTCGGATCTAGCCGGTAATAGTATCGGACATTTGTAGATCGCTAGGCTCACCACTCCAAAATCCACGACGGACGCCTCCACGACTGTACAGTAGGGCATGGCGCCTAACACAGTCAACGCGTCGGTAGATCTACTCATCTGAAGCAGACTGACCTACTTCTTGTTGCTTCCCCTCGTAGGGCCTTTCGCAGGACGTCCAAGGAGTCTACTGACATTCAGAATCAGACCGAAGTTCACTAAGGCGTGGTAAACCACTAACCATGCTCATTCCGATTTCGACAGATTGGGGACTGAACATGATCAATGAGTAGAAGAGAAACGTTGACAATGAGAACATCGTGCCGTGATATCAAGCTAAGCCACCCGAGAAAGCTAATAGAGAACTGAATACTGAACACGATGTGAGCTGAAGGGTCGAGATTAGAACACAATCTTGAGCCGAAATATGTGGAACTTCACGTCCGAACGCTCTGACACATAATAACTTGGGATGCAAACAGAGTACGGATGAGGGGACTCTTTCGCTCGGAGGGTCAGTTTCCGACTACCTCGGAAAAACTGCCCGAATCGACTCTCGTTACTAGTGAAGGAAAGTTGTCAGGAACTACGCGACGAATATTCTCATAATCATTCCAGCACGACATTGACTGTACTGTATATTCTCACCGCAATGTCTCAGATCACCATGTGTTGACCTGGACTGGACCCCACAAGAACGACAACTCTGAAGGTTATAGCCTCACAAACTCGAGAAACATCTAAGAACGTTGCACGAGTCCCTGCGCCTCAGGTGTAAGGAGAGTTGCCATCTAAATGACGATGAGTGAGACTTTGAGTTAGATCCGAGCAGTTCCGTATGAACTAACAGAGCACGTTTGTGTGGGGTAAACAGATTTAGACACGTCTGACATGGTAGATTATGCGAATCGCAAGTGAAACGCTCATCAACCTCAACCAGTTAAACGGATAAACAGAGTCCGCAGAGAGACAGGCGGAACAATGACACGTAGTAGCTATACTAACATTGCATCAACGGTGCCCTATGTTTTTTTAAACAGAATTATACACGCCTGACATGGTAGATTATAAGAGTCGCACGTGAAACGTTCATCAACCACAATCACTCAAACGGATAAACAGAGACCGCTGAGGACAACAGAGCACTCGAAGGGGCGTCCTCAAGCTGGGAGTTGCCATCGTCCTCCACTATCAGCCGCCGGCCGTTTCCTTTCGGGCGTTCGCTAACTTCCACTAAGAAGTTCTTAATGGAAGTTGGCGAACGCCCTGGGCTATCAGTAACACTCTTGATATGAACGGAATTTGTCTCATTCCCTTGGAGATGGGCTGAATTCTGTGTAGTGCACCCAACCACAGACTTTGTCGGGAAACTTTGGCGGCGTCGTGTTTCTTCCCAATGGGAATCTTGAACGCACGTGCGTTGATAGTATTAGCAGTACAAAGGAGTATATTAAGACCACATTATTTTGACTTGCATGCATCCACAGCTATCATCGATGGGTCCCTGATCACTGTGCAAGATGGAGTCACTAGCAGTGGCAAGGGGGCGATGTCCTACATTGTCGTTTTTGACCAACCTCAACATGTGGTCTACTGCTATCCGTCGACTGTAGCTTTTAAACTGTCTTATACCCTATGCTCAGCAGTTGCGCTCGCAAGACTCTGTTGAATCTTGGAGCTCCTCAACTCTCGAGGTCGACTCTACGGTTGGCCTCGAGCCGCCACTTTTCCGTTTTCTCCCGACTCAACGGTCTTCATCGTCCCAAGGTGGTCCCACCTGTTACCGTTGTCGGCCAGCAGACCCAACTTGACAAGGACTTCATCACTTATGGGATTCGACCGTCCTCAACAAGGTCTGTGATGAGGAACGTCACGCCAGGATCTCTGTAGTGCTACTGCCCGCTACCTCCTCTTCCTCCTCAGCGTCCACATTCACTATTGGTAGATATGAGAGCGCCTTGCGTCATGAGATGGGGACTAAGATAACGAGCTGTGGAGCATTGGCGGTCTATAGTGGGGCGAAGACCGGCCGGAGCCCCAGTGAGTGTCTACTCTGCTACTTCGTAAAGTACTGTGTTGTCAGGCGATAAGCGAATCGTTGATAATGCTAGCGAGGAGTACAATGATGATATATGGTGGGGAAAGATAAATCACAAGCTCAGTCCTGAGAGTTTCCAAGCTCTGAAAGCTGAGTAAGCTCGCTCAGTCTTCCACAGGCTACCACTTTTTCCTTCTCAGTGCTATTAACTATCTAGATGAACGAGATGAGCTCTACGTGGTAGACGGTTATGCTGGTTGGGATCCCGAGTATCGAATTAAGGTCCTTCTCGGTGTTTCCTTTTTGAATGGTATCCTTACTGAGCTCGTCAGGTTCGAGTGGTGGCTAGTCGAGCGTACCATGCTTTGTTTATGGAGAACATGCTGGTGATCCCTCCAGCGGAAGAATTGGACGCTTTTCAACCCGACTTCGTCATTTTCAACGCTGGGCAGTGCAAAGCTAACCGGTGGGGCTGGGTATGGACCAAGTTGGTGATATTTATGGTATGCTTGTTAGCAACATTGAAGGCCTCACCTCGGATACTTCGGTCGCTGTGAATTTCAAGGCTAACGAGATGGTTATTATGGGCACTGAGTAGTTCCTACTAGGGTGGTATTGACAACTACAGTGAGGTCGTTATCATCAGATATGCTGGTGAGATGAAAAAGGGTATTCTTACATTGATGATGCAGGCAATGCCGCATAAGTTCGGACAGCTGCCTCTTCACTCTAGCTGCAATATTCAGGTCATACCGCACCTCGCTGAGGTTAGTGATTCGTTTGACTCGTTGTTCCTATTCAGAAAGATCCAATTAGTGGGAAGCCGACTGACTGCACTTTATTTTTTGGCCTGTCTGGTACTGGTAAAACCACTCTATCGGCGGACCCATCACGTTACCTTGTGGGTGACGATGAGCATGTGTGGACTGATAAAGGCGTGTTTAACGTCGAAGGTGGCTGCTATGCTAAAGCCATAGGGCTCACTAAAGAGACTGAGCCAGAGATCTACAACGCTATCCGCTTCGGAACAGTATGTTCTAGCACCATGTGTGTTGTCGATGATGCTGTGACACTAGGTACTAGAAAACGTCCAAGTGGATCCTCGAACTCGTGAAGTAGACTTCAATGACACTTCCATCACTGAGAATACTCGGTGTAGTTATCCTCTATATTATATAGAGAATTCGCACATCCCAGCAAAGGTAGTATTAGTGGCCTATTGCTGTTCTCAGGAACAGTGATGTCAGATCGACATCCATCCTTCTAATGTCATATTGCTCACTTGTGATGCCTTTGGAGTGCTACCTCCAGTGAGTTTCCTCACTCCGGACCAAGTCCAGTACTATTTCGTATCAGGGTATACTGCTAAAGTTGCTGGTAGGATGGTAAGAGTAGTATCTCAGTCTTATTCTTATTCGATCAGGTACCGAGGACGGTATCACGGAGCCTGTAGCGACCTTTTCCTCCTGCTTCGGAGCTCCTTTCCTCGTATGGCACCCCACTGTATATGCTGAGATGTTGGCTGATAAGCTCGAGAAACATCACTGTAGTAGCTGCACTTGAGTACCGGTCTGAGATGGGCTCGCTGCTGTGTTAGGCTCGGCCTTCTTGCTTAATACGGGGTGGACCGGTGGAAGCTACACTAACGGTGGAAGCCGCATCAAATTGGAGTAAGGAATATGCACTTGTTAGTGGGGTAGTTTTTATGTTTATCGCTGATGACAGGTATACCCGTAAAATGATAGATGCGATTCACAACGGTACACTCAAGTCTATGGTAGAAGCGGAGGAGCTCGTATCGACTCCAGTCTTTGGACTCAGGGTACTTGGGGTTGATGCTGATGAGAGTGACATTTGTTCAACAGGGTTTGTGAATACCACACTTCTTTCAGATCCCCACATCGTTGCCTGGTATCCCAAGTGAGGTTCTGGATCCTGCTAATGGTTGGGCTGACAAGCAGGCCTATCTCCAACAGTTACAGCGTCTGGCTGTCCTTTTTAATAACAATTTTGAAGAGTATGCTTCCAAGTGTCCGTCTCGAGTGGCCGCTGCTGGCCCGAGGGTGATCGAGAGCAGTGGTGATACTGTAAGGCAGACGGAGAGTAACCATTCAATGGCAACGAGCTCCGAGGTGAGGAGGCAGACTAAAGCTGCAACAGTGAAGGATGAGGTACTGGTAAATTCAGTGGAATTATGGCGCATCATTTCATGTCAGATTTGAGAGTCCTTTCTGATTGCATACTAACGACTGTCCCTATATACTCCTGGGGGAGACTGTTGAAGACTGTTATGTAGTATACTCCTCCATGCGGTGGTCATCAGCTCTTGCTACTCATGACGAGTGGGCTCTCTTGAGTGCTAGTAGTTGCTCCTTGCTTCTTTATAAGGACGCTACTTTCGTCACATAGTATTCTGGTCATTTCGTGCGGTCTTGAATGGTACTCTTTTTCACCGCAGTGTATGATAACAGGCGTATGTTGTTACTGCTGCCATCGTCTTTTCCCGATTATTATAATACGCTCGTGGTAGGCTCTACAATTTTGACCATCTCAAGGATGGGATGCTCGACTGCATTCTATCGTAGCCATCGTGCGGCTGGTATTTTGTTGCCGTGAGAATCAACAGACTTTAGTTGGAGTATCTATAATACAGGGGTTACCTGGATGGACTGGTCGTCATCGGTGTTCTCACATGGTTCGGCCTGGTCGTGCGAGACTCAACATAGTATCAATGCTATATATGTCAATACCCTCTCCTTCGATGACGCCCTGCAGTATGATAATCCGTGCATCTCCACCATACTCAGCATCCTGTAGTACTGACCTATGCCTTGTAGGTGCAAGCCCACAACAAGAGGTCGGCTTTAGAGGCTCTGCGAGTAAGGATCGCTTAGAAGCGAAGGTTTGTCCGCTTTATAAGGGCAGATCGCTGTCCTCGCAGGACTTATTACATATTACTAGTCGGGGTGCTCAGTGGACTTCTCCTGAGTTTGGGAAGCGATCAAGTGGAATGTGGAATCCAATATTGATAACGCTCTTACACACGCCTAATGATCAGTGGAACATTTCTCACGTTCCTAATGTTAATCTGAGTGGGTTGAGTTAGAGCCGGGCATAGCAGCGTTCAGGGTGAGTGTCATCTGACTGCATGAATTCGATCCTTCGTGGTTTGTTATTTTGTCGGTGCTTCCACTCGTCTCTAAGAGTGTCGGTGCTGATATTCAACTCAATGACATCTCCCAGCCCCGGCCCTACACAGGCATCAGCAGCGACTCTTGCCGCCGCTCTGGAAGAGCAACAACAGCAAGAGCCTCCCCCTGCTGACGGGCTCGAGCCTAATCACGTTCAGCTCATTCGTAATACGGCCTTAGGTGTTATACGTAATGGCGCTCAGTTCGCTGAATGGCTACAAACTAAACGTCGTGGAGATAAGCAGTATACCTTCCTTTTCAAAGGGCTTGGCCACGACTACTATCAGTGGTGCTTATCGAACCCTGAGGAATGTAAACGACTGGAGGATGCAGCACAGGAGCAACAGGCTGATGATGCCAAGTCGGGCTCTGATGCTAGCAGCAACAGTAGTGGTTCTGAGTCGGGAAGAAGCTCTAGGAGTAGGGATAGGAAACGACGATCGCGATCTAGGTCTAGAGAGAATCGTTCGTCCCGTCGTCGTCCTCGAAGTCGGTCCCGTCGCAGTAGACGGTCGGGTAGTCGACGGCGGTATCGTTCGGGGTCTCGTAGGAGAAGGTCTCCTCCTCCTCCTTCGTCATGGCGAAGGCGCGATGCTGAGCCGAGACGATATAGAAGATCGAGGTCGCGTAGGAGATCGCGCTCGCCCAGAAATAGGGATCGATCTGGATCCAGGAACCGAGGTCGGGTTGAACGGTCCAGTGAGTCCAGAGAGAGGTTCCTGAAGGAAGCTCGGGAGTGGTCGGCTGAGCGGAGGAGACGGTCAGAGAGTAGGCTTAGAAGGGTTAAGGAAAGAGATGAGGAAAGGGAAAAGGAGCGTGCTAAGGAACTAGCCAGTCGGAGTTCCATGCTACGAGATCGTCAACCTCGCGGCTATCGTGGTCGAGACTATGACAGGAAGCCGATGGGAAAGGGCATGGCCAGCTCTTGGAATAGGAGTTCAACTGCGGTCACGCCTCGACCTCGACCGAAGCCTGTGAAGGCGAATAAGATGTATGGGTGGAGCGATGATGAATTCGTAGAGGGGGAGAGTCCGCGGTCTGATGGAGATAATGTTGAGCATCTTCCCGCGAGAGAACATGTTATTCCTAATGAGGCCAAGGGATGGTATAAAGGCTCGGATAATCGGTGGAGACGGGCTAGGATAACACCAACTCCGGTATTGACAGTAAAATTAGACCATAAGGGACAAGTCGTACACGCTAAGAGTAGTGCTGAACGCCTCGCTATGTTGAAGTCGAAACTCTTGTCGGGAGGGAAGGCAGCTGAGGAGAATGAGCAAGCGCCGTTTAAGGACACTGATGGGGTTGTTGTTAATGAGAAGGAGCAGAGAGTGCGGGATCAGAGTGAAGGACGAGAGGCAGATACTGACGATACCCCTAAGGCGTCGCGAGTCCAAGTGGGTGCAGATAAACGGAAGACAGAGCGTGGCAGTGTTATGAACGAGGAGGATGGTGATGGATCACGTAAGCGGAGGAGGGTAGGTAAGGCTGAGGAGAATGGGAAGGAAGAGTCGCAGGTTGAAGGTAAGGAGATGGACCAAAGGCAGAACCCCAAAAGGAGGTCTTCTTTATCACCAAGGAAGGAGGTACCACTGCTCCTCATTCGTTGCGGAGTCTCCGACATGAATTGTTTCGTGTAGGGCTCGTCATCGCCTTCTGTGGAGGCTCGGCAGAGACAACTCCGTGCGAAGTTACTCGGATCGAAACGGAACAGGTAGACGATCTCAGCTTGATCCGTGTGCTGATTTATTGGGACTCAGTGACGATGGTGGAGCTGCCTGACGTAGATGATGTGTAACAATCCTACGAATGATTAAGCTGGTATGGTTACAGACTGCTTTTCCGCTATTTCCATGTACCTTGTGTTCTCGAGTACTACCACGTAGCAGGGCGATCTGGAGGTCATCGTTGCGAATGGTTATGGTATAGTGTTAAGGTTCACCGCCGATTGAATCGATTGTGCGCTCTGAAGCGATACACATGGGAACAATAAACGTACCGTCTACCTTCAGGGTGGCGTTTCAAGGCTGAGCAAAATTGGGAAACTCTACAAGAGAGATTAGAAACTCAAATCATACTTGGGAGTCTCACCGGTGTTCGATGGGGATTCTGATATTGGACCCAGCGCAATGGATCACATCGTTTGTGGATGGTCTATCCTGCCTCCTAGCGAGCGGATTATCAGTAGACAACTCCGCCTTATTTCGACAGTCCTCGCACAGTTTGAGTTGGAATAGGAGATGTTTAACAGCGTGTCAGCCGGAAACTTTTTTCTGTCCTCATCTAATAGATGAAGCTTAATCGACGAAATCTATCTCTTAGGACATCGCTCTACTGAACGTTGAACAGTCGGTTGCATAATAGTACTCGAGATAAGCGTACTGAACGGGGTCACTCGAGCCGCTAGTTTCGACATGTGATGGGTTTGGGACAGGCATTGTGTGCTGAGCTAAGTAGAGTGTTGGAAGGGAGATATGCCCAATAACAATTATTCAACTCGTTGGATGATAACGAGGGCAAAAAATGAACTAATGCATCAACTACATCTTCTGGCCGAACCGCGTAGTGAAGTGGCTCGATTTTCGCTTCCACTGCCGGATGGATGCCAGGTAACCGGGCATCGGATACCTGGTTCCATATCTAGCGTAGAGGACACAACCGTTGCCTAGCTCTACGGTGGAACCTTCGTTTTTCTTTTCTCCGTGATCGAATAGTAATGCTTGTCCTACAGCAATGTGATTGAACATTGAGGGAATTAGAGGTCGTGTGATTTGATAAATTGGTTGATGTTTTTTGTGCGGGGTATAATCCTGAATGCAGCAACTTTGAGTACTTTTTGGATCCATTGATGTTCAAGGCCGTGTCGCTATCTGTTTTATGTGCTCTAATGGTGTCGGATCTGTCAGGATGCAGTTCCAACTCGACAACTACTACCCTCAAACGTAATAGTGTTTTAGTCAAGGTTAGCTGTCCTATTTGTTGTTGTTTTTTAGCCACTACAGAAGCCCCAGTAACCACACAGGCTGCGTTGCGCACGACGACTCAGAGCCCTGTCACTATGACGACTACGACTGAGCCGAGCAGTACCACTGTGAACTGCATGAATGGCGATTACTATTGTCAAGTCATGTCTGGTGACTCTAATAGTTACTGCAGATATTATGGTCCTACTGGTACCTGCCAAGGTCTGAATATACCATGTACTTGCAACGAGATGCCGCCGACCACCAGGGCACCCCCGCCGACCACTGAAGCACTCATATCATCGACAACTGAAGCTTCCGTATCACCGACTACTACTCCTACTCGGGATACTTCGACCCCAAGTGCCGCGGCAAGCTCTGCTGCAGGGAACGTCAGTGCTCAGCGGGGATTGAGGTTCGAGTCTCGAGACGCAGATCAATCTTTTTAGTACCAGTAAATGGTCGATGCCAACAGTAGAAATGACTAACCGATCTAGTGAGGATGTCAAATATAGAATTCCGTTCCTCCTTCATGACGAGCCTGTAGTGTTTCCGTTTCCTTAACTTGGTTTTTGTAATGTCTCGTGAATGCTGTTGTGCGACTAGCGTCTTTTTGTCGAGTCCCTTGTGTTGTGTTTGAAGAGTTTCTCATCGGCAGACGACAGAAATCACTCATGCGGTTGAGTTGTGTGATTTTGTTGGTGGTGAGAATATGAATCGCGTTTGGACAAGCGTGAGCAAAACTGATTATATGCGTCGTAAAAATCGTACGGTCGTACGAGTGTGTCTGCCTTTCTTGAGTGTGTTTGTCTATACCATCCACACACGACATCCATACCGTAACTTTCGTTGAAGGTCATGGCATAGGAAATAGGGACATATGAAGGGCTCAGAGATTAACTCCCCCTGCTAAATCAACTCTTCAAGTTCCGAGCACTACGCACTACGAACCACACAGTTTGTATACGATAGCTCATCGCTATTATCACTGATCGATATCCCTATTCATAGTATAGCACAGGGTTCATACCATGATTATATATTATAGTATCATATGATCGTATAATTCAAGGCTTCAAACACTTATATACAATATTGGATAGACATTAACGATCGCCGCCATCAGATCGTATTCTCCTGAACATCGGTAAGGTACTACGGATATCGCGTTGTATTTCACATCTTCAAAAACCTTGTCGGATGGCCCCATGAATTGACCAACACAGTCTAAAGACCATCAAAAATCAGCAAGGGATTACCAGCCAACTTCGGTCTCGACTATCGCGTGATCAGACGGGAAACACGAGTTCGGCAGCGGACGGTCATTGCTCACTCCGTCGTCCATCAGAGTTTTGCCAATCGTCATCCCTTCACCCCTAAGCAGAACGTAGTCCTTTGGGTTCTCATCGACGACGCCGGTTTTAGCCGACTGAGCCTGCAAGGGTGTTCGACGATTCCTTGTCGTCGTAGTCGGTCTAGTATGATGAATACCCATACGGTTGAGCGCCTCGAGAAAATCTCGCACTGCCAAGTTTCGCGAGCCCGCATCAGCATAGCAGTTAGCATCAACACCCGCCAGTAAAGGTAAGTCAAGGCTTCTCAGAATCTCAAGAGTTGGGATTGTTAAACGACCGTTGGTATCACCATGGAAGCTCGCGAGTAACAGTGGCTGACCATTCGGGGTGGTAACAACAGCGACAGACAGATCTCCCGATGCCAGACCTCGTCGTTCGCCTTCATCTCTTATCGCCTCCCTCACTGTTTCGGAAGCCTTCACCTCAAGAGCTAAGCCACAGCCCTTTTTAATGAATATCACAGATCGCTGTTTCGTCACATTGGGAGACGGCTCGACGATCAGGTCATATCCTTTACTCTCATCCACCGAGAGAATTCGATCTAGGATCTCTCCGGAGACTTCTTGCAGCATTATCATGTCCTTGGGACCGAACAGGTATCGCGCAACATACTCCACGAGTTGTCGAGGGCGTTGCGTAATCGACTTGATGCGATCGAGACGCATCGTCTGCCAGTCTACTGAGGTCCGCTCGGAGATGGCAATAAGTACTGAGTCGAACAATGCCAGACCCGCGAGTGAGAACGACTGGTAATTCTCCCTATAGGAAGCTTCAACATTATACTTCTCCACATTCAAAGGAGGTATACGGGCTCTCGTCATAAAGCTCATCCAGTTCTCCAACCAGGTCTTGGTACAAGACAGCTCTCCAGTGTAACAGGAAATCATAGAGGGCCTACACCGACCGTTCCCAATGACGTTAGTGAAACGGTCCGGCCAAGAAATGATACGACTGTCACCGATGCTCGTGCTGTTGAGGAATCCCGACCAGATTTTGAGCTGCGCGAGGGGATCAAAGGCTTCAGCAGACGCCTCGAGAGAATGTAGACCGAGAGTGTCATAGTTGTCAAGTAAGGCAGACCTCACGTTAAAAGGGAAGGCCTCTCTCAGGAGATCTCCGACAGTAACACCAGCAGCGTCCAAAGCCTCAGCGGTTGACTGGAACTCCTTGAGGAAGTGCGTGAATCGCTGATCGGAATCGTCGCAGAACTCCAGAGGGTTCGTCTGTACAGAGCCGATGTTCCACGTGGCGACTCTGACCCGACCGACATCCGCTGTCGTGATAGGACACTGTTGGGCGTTTTTGGTCGTGGTCTCAGAGAGGAGCATTCTGTTGCCGAAAACCGGTGATAGCAGACATTCAAGACGTCTCATGGACTGAGGAATCGTCGAGGCAAAGAAAACCGCGTGAATACAATGCTATACACCATTCTGAGGCGATCCGACCGTCAGTCCACCAAAGTAAGATATTCATAGACTACTATAGTGCATTAACCGAACTACTGTTAACCCGATGCGTAGTCAAACACACAAAGCTCTATGGAAATGTTATGGGAGTAGGTATTGTAAACCGTATATTATAAGAGGACCGAATTTCGGCGGATGCCGAGCTTGACGCAAACTGCCAGAGTCTTGTGCAATACCCTTGTGGTGATTTTCCGATCATCATACTAATGGGAGAAAACTGAGAAGGATGTGAGCGAATACGTGACGAACTAAAGAGGAATAAAGAGGAAAGTGTATTAGTAAGATGGTGAATGGTGTTGACTCAGTTGAGGTAAGTAAGTCCAGAAGTTGGCCGTGCGGACGAGTATGCTCGGCAAATGTCATAGTAGTACCGCGCAGATGCTCGAAGAAGTGGCGAGATTACGGTATGAAGAATAAAGATAATATTACAACAACATATTTGGAACAATGGCAGTAACTGTACACACACAATATTCACAATGTAGGGAATATACCATACGCTGGAGAAGGCACGAAGAAATCATCATCACCATCATCGTCATCATCCGAGAGGAATGATATGTCCGAGCCGTTGTCGCTGTTGTCATCAGAAGACAGGCCACTACTGAGTTCAATTCCACCCGAACTAAGAGGCTTCTCAGGGTTTCTACTCTTCACCACATCGAGGTCCATAACAACATCATATTGGCTTATGCCCGATATCTCTGGCAAGGACGGCTGCTTGCCTCGGACGACCGAACGTGTGGCACTACCAAAGGTCTCCAAGATGCGAGTCGAGGCGAATTTGATGATACCAATAGCTCGAGGGACGACTATCACGCCGAATAGGAATCCGGTGATGCCAAAGAATACATACTCACAAGCCGTACTCACGTGTTTGAGAGTACCCTTCTGAGTAGCCTCACCTAAGACTAAGGTGAACACAACTATAGGAAGTAGGTTAAACGCTAGCCACGCTGCTGTTAGCCATGATCTGGTCTCCATACGATAGGCCTGAGTATTGGCGGTTCGTGGTGCTAGAGGATCCGGACCGGCGGTGCCCCATGGTAAGATGTCTGCCATACAAACACTATAAAGGGCCGACCCTACCACACTAGAGGCAGGAAGCAAGAAGAACCATTGCACAGCGCAGAGTGGGAGGATCCATAGCATGTCAGTGTCACCCATAAGGACGAGGGAGACGGTTGGAGATATACACACAGAAATGAATGCCGCCGATTCAAGGGGAAAATAGCCGTGATATAAAAGGCATGAAAATCTATAGAAACCAAGTACCCATAGTATTCCTAGAAGAATACATAGGAGTCTGCAGAAGAGTATAACTCCTCGAGATAGCGTATAACTGCCGCAAAAGATTTGCGATATAAGAATAGAAGCCACTAGGATAACACATGCAAAGGGGAGCTGGAGGTAATCATTGAAATTACTCACCCCAACGATCATCACGAAATCAAGCGTAACGAATGTAAAAATATCTGCTATGAGGCTTCCAAGGCGATACGTAGCTAGGAGGATAAAGTTGATGTAGCCGAAACAGCTAAGATCACTTCGTGTTAGCAGTTGTCGCAAACTACAGTTCATAACAAAAGGCGACCAGGTGTCGAACCTCGAGTGCTCTATGAAGTCACGAAATGAGAACGACCGAGCATTCTCCTCGAGGACTTCCTTCTGCATGGCTTTAGGATTATCCTTAGCCGCAGGCAGTAGCACGACTTCACACGAACCATGAGCTGAACTGGCTAGCATACCACCATCGCTCAGCAAGACGTTGGCAAGGAGTGGATTCATACACTCATTGTTGCCAGCCAAAGTCAACTGTGTGAAGTAAGTGTCCGTATCAACTCTATCAAGTCGGAACGCACACATCGCACAGTTGACGTTACTGAGATTTCCCCCAAGACCAGTGTCCATGGCCCCATCGGTCGCAATACGAAACTTCTGACGAAGTAACCAAGAAGCCAAACACGGGTTAGATAGTAGAACCCTCCACGACGGAGCACATGGGATCTGGTGGGCTGCCGTAACAATAGTATTACCACCTACAACAGCGATTCTGTCTTCTAGTAGCTTACTATACATAAGCGATAAGCAGTTATCATCCGGACATACACCGCAGTCTATTAACGCCACTTTAACGTCGTTCTTGGAAGAAGTGACATTGGCGAAGTGGCGAGCTACACCTTCGATGGCCCAAAGGTGGCATGCCATCCGCGACGTGACGATAGGATCTGCAAACAGGACATAAAGTCATCCTCTAATACTCCGCGCGATAATAATATTTCAACGACAAATGTGCCTCGCCTTTTTCCCTGTTACTATTACCTGCTGAACTCTGGTCTGGATATTCCTTCACACATAATGCCAATTGCAGTGGCGGGAAGTCGTTGCCTTTCAACTGTATAGTACTCTCAAAGAGGTGGACGAATACCTCCTTCCCATGGTCCACAGTGAGGCAGCCTCGTCTCAATGCCTCTCGATCCTCGGGGTAGATCCTAGCAGCTCTGTCCAGTTCACCACCAGGTTTCCAAAGCTCTTCAGCGCTCATATAAACTCCCATACGTTGTAGCTCGTTGAGAAATGAAGTTTGGTAATCTTCTTTAGCAACCTCGAATTCGTTACGACCATCGACAACCACACAAACGACAATTTGATCCCATGCGAGCAGACCCGCGTCGCACATTCTTTTCACATTTCTCATGACACATATAAGGGTAGATAAGAAACCGTGAGGAGTGGCGCCTTGAATGCCTCGGCCAACAGAAATTGCTATGGTGAATTTCACAGTCTGTGCTACTGATTCGACGAATCGCATGTGGAAGGGTCTTAGTGAACTCCAACCACCAAAGAAATCCCAGTAGAAGTCGGTGTCAAACATATCCTGGATGCCACGAAGGTCAATACCATGCTGAGGATATTCGATATTACAGTGCCGCACAAGCTCCTCGTCTCGAATGGTAATAGGGGTATATCGGACAAAGCGACGGTTGAGACGCTTCTTAGGGCAAATATCAACATAAGAACGGTAGTTGGGGTTATTAGGGTTTATGAAGGGCTGAGTGCAACACGATGATGATGTCACTGCAGCCAATGGACGAGTAGTCTCAGGGAGGCTGTCACCACGACGGAAACGCATACATAATAATGTACTCTATGAGAGTCGGTGAAGGCAGAAGGGACAACTAACAACACACGATAAGACCAATTTACTAGTCACTCGGGCTCTCGAACACTCCTGATCCTTCGGGCCTCACAAATAAGTGTCTATGACAGTCCTAGGCGACTCACTTCGTGCTTGTTGGTTTCACAAACAACAACAAGGTTTCGCACGAATATACAACTCTTGTAACCAGATCTTGAAAAATGCCATTCATGAGTCGATTTTTGGGCGAAGCGACGCAGAAACCAGCCTGCCGACGATGAGCGTGTTGCTGGTCGCTAGTACCAACTACAGGGATAACTGTACTATCTGGAATGCTCGTAAATATTGCGCCTCGTATGGTTAACTACTAATTCGAGAAATATAGTCGTTTGCACTGTGAAACACAACGTTGGTAGCCTGTAAGGGACGGCTTTAGCGAATCTCATCTGGGTCTGGACTATGTCGGAATCACCTATATTAGAGGGCATCAGTGTTACTCTCACTTTCCTCAGTTGTATCTCATATTCTCCACTAATGTCAACAGGTAACTCGCCTGGACTGGGCCGTAGTAGTGGATAGTTGTTGTGTTTAGAAGTATCTGCTGCCCAGATGGCCGTTGCTGAGATGCGCGGTCTTGCTGACACTTTCTCCCGTCTCACTGAGGCCTGCTACAAGAAGTGTATCCCCAATGTCAAGGAGGGTCAACTCAATGTTGGCGAAATGAGCTGCACTGATAGGTACTCCACTACGACGCTCAAAGCTTCTGTTCTTCGCATATTATCATCAGATGTGTGTCGAAGTACTTGGATGTTCACACTCTGGTCGGGACTGAGCTCAATAACATAACCCAACAAGCGCAGCAGACCCAACAGACCCAACAGTAAAATTGCTAACTTATAGTTTTGGTTGCGAATTACCACTACTGTTTCACTGCTCATTCTATTGAGTTTCTTAGTTCATAGTCCTGCATCAAGAGGGCATAGTGAGAGCAGTTCTGCGTGGCAGTTATCAGCCCAGTTGGTGATGAGTGTGCTGGCCGAACCTTCCCCCACTCAATGCAGCAGCAGCAACAGTTCGGAGGGGTCTCCCGAGCCGGTGGTGGCCAGTACCCCTCCTAAAGGAGCTGGATTCTGGGAGCTTCAACCGCCTCCTCTGTTTCGGTACTCATCTCGGTAGGAATATCAGCCAGCAGCTCAGTGTAGGTATTTCCCATTGCGACAATTTAAACTGGCCGCAGGTAGACAGGACGGACACCATCAATACGTCCATCGACACAGCAATAAGTAAGGATCTCACGATTCTAGATCGAGACGGTACTTATTCTTATCAGCATATTCTTGGTGGGGGCTGCTCCTACTCACGTTATGTTCACGGAAAACCCAGGAGTGAAGGTAAAGTCTGTCAAGTATAGAGAGGGTATGACTACTACCCAAGGTAAGACGCGATCCTCTGTTAGACAAGTGGAAGACACGGCTTTGTATCATCACATCCTGCTGTTGCAGTTACTGGCAAAAGGAAGCGCGGAGCAATATCAGTGAATCCTACCACAGTGCTAGCTGATGTGACAATGGAGAACGGGAAGGTGTACCCACTGTGTGCATGCATTAGGGGTTCGTTATTCTTCACCACTCACTGTCACCACGTTTTGAATTTTCAGGCGACATAATCGAGACCAACACCCGCCTTTGTGGTGACGAGGCCGCGAAGTTAATGACTCCAGACTCGTGTGAGACGGAAGGTTTCGTCGCTATTCTCCTCCTTAAACTCACACGACTAAATGACGGCAGGTAGTATAGGACCTCCAGCAGCGGCTAGTTGCCGCCGATGCAAATTGAGGGTCATTCTTCTCAGTCAAGGACTCATAACGGAAGCGGAATATCTGGAGAAGTTCCCTAACGCCAGAGGGCCCATTCGGTCTCGGTATCGAACCACCATCCCAGATGCACTACCATCAGAGGATGATGATGACTGACAACGTTTATGTTTCCACTATCCTTTTCAATTGAGTTCCTTATTACTCGACAAGGGCTAGTTCATGTAGAAACCATGCATGAGCGTGCTACTACACTGGCAGTAACACCGCTTTAGTCTATTAGTCCTTAGCATCCTGGATTCCTTTAGTGCAAATTTCGAAAACACAGTCACCTTCAGGTAAGTTAGGGGAGTCAATTATCTTCATAATTCTCTGCTCACCTCTACCCTTGCGAAGGGCGATACGAGTGGTACCTAGAGGACATATCTGATTGTGGGTGAGAATGGCCACCAGTACTATAGTGTGCCAACACGTGGCCTCCAATAGGCTTAGGAGGGTTGGCCGCGAACGACATAGCTGCTGCTGGGTCAGCCATCACTTGATTCGTTATCACTACTGCCAAGTTGTACCTAGCATTGATACTGTTAAGCTGTCGGGATGACAACTTGGTGGCGAATATCAGTACTACTCTTCACTCAACTTCTGTAGTCTACTCATGACTCTGGAAAGGAGCTGTTGCCTTTCAGCCAAGTCACCACGTCCCGTGAAATCAACTCGGAAAGGGCCCATAATACCTAAGCTTCGATCATGAACGAAATCGATCCGAGCTGGCCTACTGTCGACGACAAGAAGTGCATACTTCTCCTCCGCCATTTTAGCAGCCACGCACAACAATAGTTGTACGAGATGCTCAGAATTGTAGCACCTAGCGTATATGATGTTATCAAGGACTTGCTGTGGATCCACTCCAAAGGCTTGGGCGATCTGGGTTATACGATCGGGACGGAACGTGTTCTCAGTGTCTATATAGCAGACCTTCCCATTAGCACCACCATATGACTGAGGCATCTGGGCGATCACGCTGAGTGAATGGCACAGCTGAGTCTTGCCGCAACGGAATTCGCCGTAGAATTCAGTAATGCTGCAGCTCTCGATGCCTCCTCCCAGCAGTTGGTCAACTTTCGACGAGCCAGTCGACAGGCGAAAACGCTTCTTGCACTTAGTCCGGACAAACTCACTGCCCGTAATGAAGCCCGCACTGGTGAGCTTTCTAGCCGCCTCTTGAATCTTCTCGACCTTCTGTTCGGACAAGCCTTTGATGCTACATAAATCTCGCTTCGTAGTGTATATGACGGCCATAGCTGTGTTAAGCCCAGCCTCTTTCAGTTTTCGGAGGTCGGCCGCGTTTATACCTTAACGATCAGCTCGTGCGCATGACGAGAGAATGACCAACCCGCGTCTTGGAGCTTTTCTATCTCTTGGAAGTCATCATCACCATCATCATCCTCGTCTACGTCAGAGGCCATGTTCATGTTAACCTAGGGAGATGACCACTGGCGGGCAGATAATGAGAACTTGCCTACATCTTCATTGCCACTAGCCTCGCCAGGGGAGGCTATACCTATCAGAATGGTAGAGAAGGAGCGATGAAAGAAGAGAGCTCACTTGCGACGACCGATGACGATGCTGCTGGCGGTGATTGCAGACTTTGTGTTTGGGTCTTCTCTTTCCGTGGTCTGCCCTTGGCCTTTGGCTTCTCCGCTGCGGACTTCTCAGCTGGACTGGCCATTGAGGCCACTGCCTGTCACACAGAACGCTCCCTACCATTATGTCGATGCTGTAATAAAGGGAACGACAATAGAGCCATAAGAGATCACCCACCGCTGCAAACTCGTCTTGTGTTGCCGTAGGAGATACTTGTGCTGCTATTGCTGCCATGGAGGACTACACAGTCAAAGGTCTGTATCGATCGACTGCATTGACCACGACGAGTATGCCTCAGGGAGAACTTTTTCACCAGGTGGGGCAGCTATGCCACCCTCGGAGATATGCCTTGGGACAATCGATTTCTCCAGATCGGGGTAAATATGCCGCCGAAAAATGCGTTAGAGATAACACTTTTCCTGGGCGGGGCAGCTATGCCATCCTAAGAGCGATTTCTTTGGATGGGGCAACTATGCCACCCCGATGTACGCTTCAGTGCGATCAACATCGCTGTTAGCCGAACTACTCCCGCTCCAAGGAAGATGATCAAGCAAGTAGTTGTATAGATATAGGTTAAACTGGCCGATCCTTCTATCCTGTGCATCTGTGAGATTGGTAGTATCCAGAAGAGATGAATCAGACCTATCATGGAGTGGCATAACTGCCCCATCTGAGGAGATTCCTGACTATGTACTCTCTCCCCATGTTCATTGAATCCATTCTGGAATTCAGAATCGCATCGTATTATACGTGTGATGAGAGATTCTAAAATCATCATTTCGAAAATTGAACAACCCCTCTGAGACGTGTGAATGAAAATGGTAAACAAAGCTGCGCCGATTGACGGAGCGATGCATCAGTTGCTAGCTGCTGCTACGTTACATTAAGCTTGAGGTAAAGAGGCTTATCTTTATGTTCAGATTTTCGGAGATTTAGATAAACCTTCCACCTATGGGTCGTATAATCTACCATGTCAAACGTGTACAATTGAGCTTTCACTCGAAAAAATGTATAGATTCGTTGGAAAGTAAGTATGAAACGATTGACTGCTTTGCATCACTTATTTTATTTGGTATCCATCGCTGATTTGTATCTTCTGTGATGATGGGAGACAGCAGTTGGCGCTAGGGAGTG